AAAAAAAAAAAAAAAGCGTTTTATGGGGATCCATCTCTTTGAGCAAGCATGGTGTGTTTTTCTCCTTTACTTAATGTATTGCGCTTATTTATTCATTTTCATTTATCTTATTATCCCATTATCTTTGTAATCTTTTGATTATTTTTCCCGATTACTTTGGCCCTTTCAGGTCCCATATTTGCAGATTCGAGAAAACAATTGGACCTTCAACGCTGATGGAAATCGGAGATGGAATATAAGGTACGACCTGTGAGACAGGGCGTCTTGTCAAAATTGGGTGTTGGTATGTGAAGGATGATTTACCAGTAAATTTATTAGATTTTATTGATGCTAATTTGAGATGCATTCACCATATGTTCTTCTCTTAACAAGAAAGCCTGACTTGGGGTTTGAACATTAGTTTCAAATTGTTTCATTAGCATTTTGCAAAATCTCATCGGTTGTAATTCTTCAATATCATCATGATTTGTTTCAGCTGATACATATGATTGAATGAACTAGAGATGTGTGTTCCTTTTCTTCTATTTTCTTTCATTTTTTTTTTTAAACTCTAAGTTGAATGTTGTACCAATAGGTAATAATATAATTTTCCTTATTGATGATCTTGAGGATTTTACATAACCTACATTAATGTTATTGCACTATAAAAGTATTGTATTCTGGGTGAAATAAATTTGAGACTAAATTGGAAATTATTTGTAGGAAAAGTTATACAGTTGGATGAATAAAAAGTACTATTACAAGGGTATTAAGAAATTTATGCATAACCATGTTGTTTCTTTTTTATATAGAAGTTTCTATTTTAAAATTGCCACTCATATATTACACGTGTAAATGGTTTATATTTAATCACCTGTGACACCTTTAAAAAAATCAAATAAAATTATTTATCTATGTATATTTTGTCCAATTTGCATTTTCACAAAAGTCAGAGCCCTTGTGAACAACCTTAATATAAAAATAAGATGTCATCTGAATGCGTTGATGCCAAACCTATGGGCTGTATGTGTATAATAGCTTTTGTTTTCTTATGATACCGCCAAATGTTTTCTTATTGGTACACTTGATGTTTGTATGCAAGTTGGAATAGGGTCAATTAGGGCTGAATATGAGACTTGGAGAATTCCTAACGGTTTTGAAAACTGAACTAAACTCACTCCGAACTGAAAAATAACCGTTGACTATTTGACTTCCTCGAAATGAATCGTACGAAAAAAATAATTGGTACGGTTATGGAGATTTCACAAATATCTGCACTGAGAACCGAACTGAACCATCATATACGGTACCAAACCGAAGAACCGAATTGTAACATTAGATATGTGTTATTAGTATATATTATGTCAACTTTGATCCTATATAATTTGAGAATTTTTAAAATGCAAATAAACTATAGTAACAATAATTAAGTTTTACTTAAATTTCATGCTTAGTAATACTTGATCTATAATTGAATTTTTCGATATTAGTTGCACTATTTAGTCTTCACTAAAATTTAGAGTTACTTCTAAAGTTGATTTCAAAACACAATCTTCAATATGAGAAAGTATTGATGAATGTATTTTTTTTTAAAGCATATAAAAATTAAATAACTAAAATCTATAGTTACTTCCAAAGTTGTTTTAAAAAAAAATTTCAATATGATGAAGTATTAATGAATATTTTTTATAGCATATAAGATTAAAATATAATTAGGTAGTCATTCAAAAAAATTAGGAAAAAATAAGAAATCTTAGAAAATCCGAACCGTTCTGATAGTCCCGAATACTGACCCGAACCAAAAAATAAAAATATCCAAACCGAACCGTCCCGAATTTTTGGTACGGTACTGGAGATCAAATTTAATGATCTCAGAATTTTGGTACGGTTCCAGAGATTTTTCAATCTCCGAACCGTACCGACCCATGCTCACCCTTAGGCTTAATCACTCTAAATCTGTAGTTAATTTTTTTCTTGTGCGTTATACTTTTATACAAAGATCGTTGCTCAAAATGGATTTCGTCTGTTAACTTGATTTAAAAAAAAATATTATATGGTATCGTCTGTTAACTTGATTTAAAAAAAAATATTATATGGTTAATTGTTAGTGGGATTTTAAGTTTAAATTAGAATATTAATAAAAAATTATTTGATACAAAAATACGAGATTGATTATGTGAAGTGAAAATTAGTTAAAATTATTTGAGTTGATGAATAGTGAATTAAAATTAGTGTGATGTGTAACAACGATTGATTGATATAATTTAATTATATTGATAATATTGAGAATAGTGAGATAGAGTTAAAGTTGCGTTAGATTTTGAGTTGGATTCAGTATGAAATGAAATATTTGGTATGCAAGGAAGCTCTTCTATGATAGTATTACTTTTTTTTTTGGTTATATTTTCTTGGGCTTTTCTATTATTTCACCACTTTGAGATACAAAACTTGTGACAGTATAACTAATAAAACAAAGCTTGTGACAGTATAACTAATAAATTAAAATTAGTCTGATGGATTAACAACAATCATATATTATGAATGTTTTTTTATTGTAAAATGTTATGCACATAATTGTTTTATGCAAAGTTTTAAATATCATACCTGTGATCATACTGGACGAGCCACCGGTACACAGATCAATTGGTTTTACAGTCTATTTTATCGGTTTTATCGGTTTTAATAAATATTAGATTAGTCTATTATTATAATATAAATAATATATAAAACTCACTATAATAAATACTAAAATTATCTTAAATCAAATAGCAATGTAAATATATCAAAAGTTAAGTGTAGAACTTTCTATTTATATAATTAAACTAATAAAAATATGTTATAAATTTTTTTTTAAACCTGGTATTCCCAGTATTTTAGCCTATATTTTGGCCGGTGTTGTCCGGTAAAACTGGTATTTTTCGGTATGAAGCCGGTATAAACCGGTATTTTGGCTAAAACGTTATTTTGAAGGTAATCATACCAGTTGGACCACTGGTATCCGATATTACCAGTAATATCGGCTGGTATATGCCGGTATTTAAAACACTGGTTTTATGTTAATTTAGAATTGCGTAAATTTTTTTTATGTCATTTTTGTTTTTGGTACAAAAGAGAGACTAACCCCAAACAGGTTTAGGCAACCACGTGCCTAGGGTACGAGGTACCAATAACATCGCTCGCAAGCCGTGGGATAACACCGGACCGTGGAGCCGAAAGCAGATGGAGACCGACATGAGCCGATGCCGCCAAGGACGCCAAGAGGTCAGCCGCGAAATTTGCTTCGCGAAAGATATGGGAAATCTTAACTCTCCAGTATCGACTAAGTAATTCTCGTATACCAAGGACCAAACCAGAAGACACACCCCTTAAACCCTCCGTATTATTCGCAAAACCCACAATATTCACATTATCCACTTCCGCCTCGACTTGGCGAAATCCCATGTCCCAAGCCAAACTAAGACCGTGGAATAGTCCTCATAACTCCGCCCCCGCAATAGAGCACATCCCAATATTCCTCATAAATCCTCCAAACCATGTTCCATGAGCGTCACGAATCAAACCACCTGTAGAAGCGATACCCGAGGATTTATGGTAGGCCCTGTCAGAATTCACTTTCACCCAATCCGTCGGTGGAGCCACCCAATGGATAAGAAGCCGGCTACTGTAAACAACGGTGTCGCCAAGTTTTTTATCACTCTTCGCAGTAAGGAGCACGCCGTTCACAAAGGTTCGGATTTCATGGACCTTTTCATCTGCTTCCTTTCCACGATTTTAAAAAATAGCCATATTACGCCATTGCCATAATTTCCACAACGT